CCTAAGTATTCTCTCCTGATCGTGAGTACTTCGGGTGTCGTAATTCTCTCTCGATAAACTACCACAATTTACTAGACATATTCTCTCGAAATACGCTAGCTAGAACTAATTCACCGTTCACTACGATCACACTAAGGTTTCGTTATCTCTAATCCCGCCTTTAAACCCTCCGCATTGATCTCTCACATACGTTAGGAGTGATGTTGTTCAACAGCTACTTAAATATGTACCCTCTCTCAAGCAATACATACTAAATAGACACAGTCAATTGATGGATATTCAATCAACAGCAGTAAACACGTAGTTGAACAAGCAGAGAAATCTAACAGTTCAATTATATAAAAATATAACGAGAATTTATCTTACAAAAGGTTCCATCAAATCCCTAGATAACAAATTAGCTATTCATAATAGTATACAAAACTACAATACTAGAATTCATAACCAATAATGAAAATAGGAAGAAAAAGTGAAAAACTCGTAGAAGAATTCTCCGCCTTGTCCCATGTGCGTTCCTGCCTCCTTAGGTCGATTCCTTCTCTAATGATGTCTTTCCAATAGTGTCTAACCCTTCAAAAACTAACTTTTAGGGGTATTTATAGGGTAAGGGCCGAATTTACATGTCTGATACTAATGAGGAATAAAACATTTTTTCGGATGGCATTGTTGGCGCCTTGCACTGCCTGTAGCACTGTCGTTTCGGTGCAAGGCACTGTCTTTTCAGCGTAAGGCACTGTCTATGGCACTAATGACAGTGCCCTGGACAATGCCTTGAACTGTCTATGGCACTGTTGTTACTGTGCAAGGCTCTGTCTATGGCACTGAATTTTCGTTGCCTTGCACGTCTTCTTTTATTGCTCTATTTTGTAGTTCTGTGTACCATTTCATGTAATTTTTCTCCAATTCATTTTCAAGCATTCCTACACATGAAATAAGCTCTATTAAGCGCAATCGTCGCATAAATTATCATCCAAACAACAAGCAAGTAGGGTAAAATAATGTCAAAATATGTGAAATTATCTCATGACATCAGTTCATGTAGCACCCACAACTCTAGAACTAATAAACTATGAGATTAAAGGAAGAGAAGAGAAGAAAAACTAGTTGAAAGCCTCCTCCAAGCGTGGTTTCCGTTCACTTCTCCAAAGTGGCGTGTTCTCCTCCCAAAAATATGTTAGATCCCCCTCCAAATTAGGTTTAAAACCCTTTATATACAAAATATGACCGTGTAGGGCCGAAATAACCTTGTCCCACATGAAATAGAAAAAGTCCCGCAACACAGGGTCAGGCCAGCGCGTCGCGCTGGCCTAGTGCTGAATCCAGTAGCGCTTTATTCAATTTTGCTTCAAATCTCTTCATCTTCACATCGCTTTATTCCTACACAGTTAAAGTATAATATTAAGCATAAAGTTATATAATTAATACTCAAAAGATGATTAAAAGTACTAGAATGTGAGGCAACAATGATTATATATATGCATTTTTGATCGAATATCACACATCAATTAATTTCAATTGTATAGTAAAAACAATAACAAAAACAACAACAATCCAGTATAATCCCACTAGTGGAGTCTGGGGAGGGTAGTGTGTACGCAGACCTTACCCCTACCCTGGGTAGAGAGGCTATTTCCGATAGACCCGAGGCTCCCTCCCTCTAAGAACTCCCCACCTTGCTCTTGGGATTACTCGAACTCACAACCTTTTGGTTGGAAGTGGGGGGTGCTCACTATTAGAGCAACCTACTCTTGTCATAAAAAAAAATAAAAAAGATAATATAGTCACTCTACGGACTTAAACGTATCGTGCTAATATCAAATCGTATTTATATTAGTGAGTCTGTTTTTGTGCAACATATTAATTATTTAGAGCACGAAAGGTAATGCAGTAGCCACCTATGGAGGCATTAGGTAGAATACTTTTTAAGAAGCCACATCGAATTGGTCAAATTGTTGAACTCATAATGAAGCCCTCTAGTCTACTCAAAGCATGGATTGAACGTCTTTGTGCACGAGTGATGATAGCATGAAAACCATGTATTACTGTTTCAAGTACATGGATTCTCGTTTGCTGAAAGGGGGTTAGTTAATATAATTGCACCAAGGGTATCCTTTATCGGCGGGACGTTTACGAGTTTGGTCAAATTTAATAACTTTAGTTCAAATTAATTTTGTATTTGTCTTAAGAAATCTTTTAAATATGTATATTCTATTTATAATTAGAACCCAATATCTTAAAAAGATCCCGAACCTATAAGCTTCAAACCCTAACTCCACATCTACTTACCGGTCAATAAAAATAGATAAAAATTATTCGAAATCAGGATTAAAATTCCACCAAGTACAAGAAAATGCTAAGTAATTTTTTTTACATTTGCCTAAGATTTAATAGGGAGAATTATCTAATACATTTGCTAATGGGAAATAGCAAATAAAACGACGTAATTAAAAAGAATATGATTGGAAAATCATCATTGCACTCTTTCAAACGGTTTCTGTTTGGAGACTACTATCCAATCTTCTTCCTTCGTTCTCTTAAATCTTGGATGTTCTAATTGATCGAGGAAAAAAAACGAGAAAGCAATCTAAGAATATATCTACAACCTTTGTCACATTTGTAACCATTTGGTCCAAAACCTAATAGAGAAGAAAGCTACCTCAAAGAATATTTGTTAATTTCAAAAAATAAAATGGTAAAAAGATAAAAGAAAGCAACACAGGATCTCACGCACCTCCTTTTTGTACCTTTTAGGGGAAACCAAAATTGGATTAAGTCAGTCGAATAGAAAAGGATGTTGATCGAGGAAGAAGACGTGTATCAAGATGTTGGATAAAGCTAACTACAGCAAAAAAGAAGTGTCGCATTTTGTAAAAATGGACTTTTATTTGGTTAATTTGACAAGCACTAATGATGGTTTGTTTTGGGAGTGACAGTATGTGTTGGTGTAAAGAATGCTATCTTTCCACGAAATTTCACGCCATTGGTTGGTTGGTTTGGTGAACCATTTGAAACATCCCTCGATCTGCACTATCAATCAATAATTAGATGCACCACAAATCACACAGCGATATCATTCTCATTTGTATCAGAATCAACGAGTTTGAAATAGTACGATTTATTATAATCCCTCCATTTCACGTTATGTAACAAGTATCGGTATATGATGGTCGCAATAATATATTTTGAAAAGTATTTTTAGTGAGAAACGATTTGTATATATTTGGCTAATTCATATAAAAAATACTTTTGATCAGCAATTAGTATTTGATCAAACTTTTAAAAAAAAAATTTTTTAGAAATATTTTTTCACAAAAGTACTTTTGAGAAGAAACTACTTTTTTTCTGCTTTTCAAAAATTGTTTCTGCTTCTACTCAAAAGTACTTTTTTCTTTCGAAAACCTTGGCCAAACACCTTAACTTTGGAAAAAAATATTTTTAATAAAAAAAAATACTTTTGACCAAAAGAAGCTTGGTCAAGCCAAATATGCTATAACTCTCCAAATAGCAATATTGCCACATTAATTGAAACAAGAGGGAGTATATGATTTGATTCATAAATAATTAAAAAAGAAAAAGTCCTAAATAATTAGTACAGTTGCATTCACTATTGAATTTTTATTTCACTTCAGAATGATTCTAACACTATTACTTACAATAAAACAATTTGTCACTATTATTTACTATATAAAGTACAATCAAAACGTTATAATTCTTGCATGATTAATATATGAATTAACCAAATTTAAACGACCCCTATGATAGAGTTCGTTGTTAAGGATTTATGGCAAGCAGTGTAGCTTAACCAGCTAAACATTTGGTAGTCCTACTATATATTTTCCTGTTACAACAATAACAATAACCCAGTATAATTTTACTAATGGGGTCTGGGGAGGATAGTGTGTACGCAGACCTTACCTTTACCATGGGATAAAGAGGCTGTTTCCGATAGATCCTCGGCTCCCTCCCTCCAAGAACTCTCCACCTTTCTCTTGGGGTAACTCGAACTCACAACCTCTTGATTGGAAGTGGAGGGTGCTCACCGCTTAGAGCAATGCAGTATATTTTTATCTTGAGTTATGCGTTATACATGCATTCTGTCTACATAGTACTAGTAAAACTTTAGTGGTCGGATAACGTTAAAATGTCTTTATATGTGGGAGAATATAAACATGTACTACCTGATTGGTCACATCACTTTGTTAAACACTGTCACACTAGTGACAGTACAGCTGGTAATTAAAGTTAGTAAATGCATCACTTCGATTAGAATTTAAAACTATTTGCTGATTTGCCATAGTAATTGGAATTATAAAAAGTACTCCTCTTGTCCATTTTAATTGTTATTGTATGTTTCTATTTTACATATCGCTTAAGAAGCTACTAATAAGAAGGATTTTTTTATGCAATATAATTAATATTTTTATTTTCAACAACAATAACAACAATAAACCCGGTATATTCTCACGTGTGAGGTTTGAAAAAGTAGTGTGTACGCATACCTTACTTCTACCTAATAAAGATAGAGAAACTATTTTCATTAGACAATATTTTTATTTTCTAGAACAATTAATACTAAGGATAACATGAAAAAAATTTAATTTATTTTATTTTATTTTTTAAAATGAGAAATATTTTGAACTAATTATTTTACTAACCACGACAAATAAAATGGATAGGAGGAATAATGAATCTGTTTCAATTTAGATGAGTTAATTTGATTCGACACGGAGTTTAAGAAAAAAAAAAGAAACTTTTGAAATTTGTGGTCTTAAAAGCTTAAGAGGTAAAAGTTTTGTGGGCCATAACATTTGTGTGGTAATAAAAACTTCTCATTAAAAGTAAAATGAGTAAAATAAAAAATTTAAAGTTTAATTATTTTCAAATTAAAAAATATGTTATTTATTTTGGACGAAAAACGGGGAGTACTATAGGTGCCCAAAGGTGTACTTAATATATAAAGGGGATATATAGCTTGATGTGTGTAGCTACAGAGAGACAGTCCGTGCTTTGTCTCATTTCACTATCTAGAGAGAGAGAGAGAGAGATGGGGAATTGCCAAACTAGTATTGATAATGCAGCTTTGCTCATACAACACCCCAATGGTAAAGTGGAAAAGCTTTATTCTCCCGTCAGTGCTAGCCAAATTATGAAGATGAATCCTGCCCATTATGTTGCTCTTCTTCTCACCACTATGTCCCCACCCTCAAACAAAACAACTCGAATTATGCGAATAAAGCTTCTCAAGCCGACTGATACCCTTGTTCTTGGTCATATTTACAGACTAGTTACTGCTCAAGGTAGCTAACTAGCTAGGTCATTTTAATTTCTAGGTCGTTAACTACTCAATTATTTTGTACTTACACCTTTTTCTTGATTATACACAGAGGTAATGAAAGGATTGTGTGCCAACAAGTATGCAAAGCAGAAACAGTTAGAATATTCAGCGGACAAAATGACACAGATATTACATTCTAAGGCAGGTGTTCAGGACAATTCTAAACACAAACTTAATTTCCTTTGTATTTCAAAGAAAGAACATGTTTGTTTACTTCAAAATTCCTTCTTTAATTTACGAGTTGATTAAATTTTCAGGTTAAACATCGAAAGTCTATAGGTGCAAAATCAAGAGCTTGGCATCCCTCGTTGCAGAGCATATCTGAGGCTGCAGACTGATTTGTGATATTAAAGAGAGTCAGCAAAAATGTTGCAGATTATACGTTCAGGAGATGGAATTGGTGGTTTCTCAAATTCAAGTTAAGAGTAGCAGGTCCTGTTATGCGGAATTAGTCACATGTATAGAAAAGGAAAAACGAGAAAAAAGATCTCGCACATCTCAACTTTTTGATTGTTTGGAGGCACTTATTCAATTGAAATTACTTGTAAGCACCAAATTTTGTTTAATTGAAAAATTAATTATATCTAATGGAATGGATCATTGTAGTGATTCTCCTACCATGTGCTGTTGATCAACCAATATGTTATTTAAGAGCCAAATAACAGTTGGTTTCTCTTTTTTTAATGCTCCTTGAATGGGGAAAAGATTTTTTGAAAAGATCACACTTGGTCTAATCTGACAATCATCGGAGAATATGACACCATTCTAAAAGTGACTTAACTCGGCTCACAACTAAAATCCGAATGAGAATGTCAATTGGCTTGGTGCATGAGGATCAAATTAATCCATAGATTGTTTGTGCCTACATTTCACTTGTACAAACTCTAGCTCTATTGCTTTACTGTCAGAGAGACGTATCATAACGTTTTCGTTTGGCGAGTTATTACTTTGAGAAAGAAAAGAAGAATATTCTATACAATCTATCACTGCACTTGTCACTCTTCTGTAGAAATTGTCTCACATCTAACGTAAATGTTAGTATTTTTTTTTAGTCCAGAACCTATTTGTGGTTCTTTTGGACAAGTATGACGAAAATGTGTGTTTAAAAAAAAGAATGACATTTCTATATATAGCGCTCTTAGAGCGCTATATATATATAACACCATTGTAAACCGCGCTATACAGGGTTGATAAGATAACTATGCATAGCGCGGTATATAACCGCGCTATATCCGTTTTGTGGGCCCACAAATAAGTTTCTCGCGTTTAACTGACATATCAATAATTCAAATGGGTATAAGAGCGCTATACCTAAAACAATTCAGCCCCCCGAGCTAGGCATTGCCTTATTTAAAGGCGTTAGGATTTTACAAAAATCCATTCAAAAATATTCCTAACTCTCGTTCAAAATTTTCTTCTTGTTAAATTCTCAAGCATTTTTTCATAATGTCTTAAAAGCGAAAAGTAAGGGTTTCATTATATTTGGGGGTGAGATGTGGTGGCGAATAACTCTGTGAGCTATAGTTTATCTCCACAGTGTCACATTAAGTTGCCACTTACAATGGAGTACGATAGATTGATATCGTTGTTATGTAATAAAATGAGTGTGAGGAAACGTTCGGTGAACCTTAAAATAACCAGAAGATATCCGTATTTCGTCACTTCGTAAGGAGTTGCTTGTTACGCTGAGTTTAACATCGACGATGATGAAACTTTGAGAGATTTTTTGAGGATTCCGGAGGAATACCAGAAATTTCTTGTGATAAAAATGTTGGAAATGTACGTCAAGGTCGAAGACGTTCGCAATAATAAGGTTGCGCATAGTAGGGATAACCTTCAGTCATCGAATAGTTATTCTGGAGCAGTTTTTACCGGACAGGTTCCAGATGAAAGAGTTTGCCCTGATTTAAACTTATCACCACGGGCGAATGAGGAGCGAGAAAATAATTTCTCTCCTGCTTTACATAATCCACAAGACGAGTAGTAAACTTTAATTTTCCTTAGTGTTACGATGTATATTTTTGTTGTATTGAATTTGTATTAACACTCATATATTTCACAGGGGGTACTGGCCAGATATGACTTTTACAAGTTATGAACCCACGCCCAGTTGGAATATGCGTAGTTCTGATGTGTTGGATCATGGTGGTCCATTCGGAAGTCATCACTAATACGATAATGTCCATTAAGGAATGTCAACACGTTACGACTTGTAAGTGAAGTGATACAGCTATATGGAAAGTATTTATTAATGTCAGTAGCTTATTATTTTGTTGTTTGTTCAGTGAAAACGAGCAAGTTGAACCACCTGTCCTCACTCAATTGCCCGAAGACGACATATTAAATCGGGAATCTGGCAGATGCACATAGTAAGGAAGAGAACAGTGATTATGACAACAATACCGATGATTCCGGAGACGACACACCCTTCCCTCGTGAGGACGGTGATGAGGAGGAAGAGAATGAAGGACCTGATTTGACGAGGGAGTATGCTCCACTCCGGTTAGACCAAGAGTGTACGAGTCCCAAGTGTCGTTTCATTCAAAGAAAATTCCCTACCTTAATAACTTGCTAAGTATGCCGGATGTGGATGCTCTCACAAGGGATTTTGATGAAATTCGGACAATAATGTGGGATGATTCTAGACCAACAGTGCTGGCAAAGGGTATGCTTTTTCCTGATAAAGCGCGCCTAAGCAGGGCGGCGAAAATGCACAACGTAAAAGAGTGTCGTGAGATGACGGTATGGGAGTTAACTTCGGAGGTATACAAGGTTGTTTGCCGCAGATGGTTTACGGGTTGTCATTGGATGCTGCGTGCGAGCAAGAAGAAAATAGGTTTATGGCAAGTGGGTAAATACATTCCCACCCACAGATGTGAAATTGACACATTCAATGGGAATCACTACAATTTGGATATTGACTTGATTTCTCTTGTCCTTATTCCACACCTTGAAGCGTCCATAAGGTATAAAATCAAAGAGTGCATTACATCAATCCACCAGGAATATGGCCATACCATTACCAAAAGAAAGACATTTCTCGGGCGCAAACGTGCGTTTGAAATTATTTATAGTAACTGGGATAAGTCATTTGCAGCTCTACCCAAGTACATGGCCGCACTGCAACACTTTAACCTCGAGACGGTTGTTGAATGGAAGCTTGAGCGGAGTCCGAGAAAACCAGAATATATATTCAATTACGTGTTCTGGGCATTTAAACCAGCAATTGATGGTTTTCCGCATTGTCGGCCGGTAATATCCATAGATGACATTCATGTCTATGGAAAGTATGATATCAAACTATTGATAGCCGTTGCAGTAGATGCTAATGGACAAATATTTCCTCTAGCTTTTGCTATTTGTGCCAATGAAAGCCAAGAGACGTGGACGCTGTTTTTGAACCATTTGAAAGTGCACGTTGTCAAACAGCATTCCGACATTTCTCTAATATCTGATCGGTATGGTGGTATCTTAAGTTCTGTAGAGAACGTGTCTGCATGGCAAGAACCTTATGCCTACCACCGTTACTGTGTGAGGCACTTTAAGGCCAATTTTCAGAAGGCACATCCCAACAAGGATCTGCATGATTTGATGTGGATGGCAGCAACAGACCACAAGAGCATAAATTCCGGAGGCACATGGAATCTATTAGGCAGGAAGACGAGAGAGCCTATCATTGGTTGATGCGACATGAGCTTCACAAGTAGACTTTGCATGCGGATGGTGGAAGAAGATGGGGAATTCTGACTACAAATATGTCAGAATCTTTCAACGGGTTATTGAAGTCGGCAAGAGGATTGCCTGTCACTGCCATGGTGCGGATGTCGTTCAAGCAGATGGCGGAGAGGTTTGTTGAAAGGGCTGCAGCTGCAACGTCATTGATGGAAAGAGGTGTTGAATTTATGCCACTGCTAATGAAGAGATTTGAGAAATGGAGGCGGCGAGCAAATTGGCATTCATTTTTGCAGTATGATCACAACAGAAATATTTTTGAAGTTCGCACTGCTATTCATCAAAAACGGGGGAATAATGTACATACCATACATGAATCTAGAAGGTTATGCTCTTGTGGGAAATGATCCATCTACCACATGCCGTGCTCACATGCCATCAGGTGCTTTCAACATACAGGTTTAGGGCCAACCAACTACGTTGATAAACAATATAGTATTGTTGCTTACTTAAACACCTATAATGGACAGTTGCAGCCAGTGGGTGCTGAGCATTATTGGCCGCCGGAACCATTTAAAATAGTGTATAACAAAGACTATTTGTGTCGAATACAGGTGTAGAAGAGAACGCGTATACGGAACCAAATGGATGTTAGCAATACCGTTTATGCGCGCAAATGTGGTATATGCACGCAAACAGGACACGACCGTCAAAAATGTCCTTCGGTTGGTTTGGGTGGCGGTGGTAATCAAGCTCGTGGTGGATATTCTTCTAATGTGCCCAAATATCAATGAGTTTATGTTGTAATAAGTAGTTGTTTTGTTTATGTTGCAAGATGTATCAAATAAAATTATGTTTCCATTGTTGTTAAATCTTATTGATATTTAACATTTTCCAGTTGAATAAATTAATGCATTTCTCCCTCCCGTTCATGTAATCAAAAATAGTATTGGATTAAAGGTAAACAACATTAATTGTATATTTGATCTGTAAATTAAATAATTATTTTTTATAATTATATAATATTTAATTGGACAGAATATATATCTATGGGTTCTAGGCTCGATATTTGAGGTCCAGTAGCACCAAGCTATCCTGAGTTCTTGTATGTGTCAATTTTATTATTTTCGTAATTTCGTATGTTTGATTTATAAATTAAATAATTATTTTTTATAATTATATAATATTTAATTGGACAGAGTATATACCTATGGGTTCCAGGCTCGATATTTGAGATCCAGTAGCACCAAGCTATCCTGAATTCTTATGTGTGTCAATTTTAATATTTTCATAATTTTGTATGTTTGTTTTGTAAATTAAATAATTAATTTTTATCATATTTAATTGGACAGAGTATATACCTATGGGTTCCAGACTCGATATTTGAGGCTCAGTAGCACCAAGCTATCTTGAATTCTTATGTGTGTCAATTTTAATATTTTTATAATTTTGTATGTTTGGTTTGTAAATTAAATAATTATTTTTTATAAATTGGACAGAGTTTGTGTTTGATCTATCAGTATAAAAGATACTTAAACTACAGGGATTCTATGCTAAAAGACTCTACATTTTACTACGCTAAAAGGGCACTAGTCTTTAAGTAAATAAATAATCTAAACTAGATAAAAATAACAAATACACTTTAATCACAAAACATTCACTAAAATACATATAAAACAGTAAAAGAAATTTATTAACATTTTTATTAAAAAATAATAATAATTTCTCAGTTTTTACATATTTTTTTAGAACACTAATATTTTAGTCCGGATAAAAATAACATACTAGTTTAATCGCAAAAAAAAAATACAAAACAACATGGAAACACATTCAAAACAACTAATATGCATTATTATACGAGTTTCGACATAAACTAAATCGGAATACCTCGATTTATATTTTTTGAAAAGTCGATGAATTGAAAATTTGAGCCCGAAACGAGG